GAGTTCTAAGGGGCTTCAGAGGACTCGATGTAACTGTTCCTTTCTGCTTTGGGCTGAGGACTGGGCTTCTAGAAGCTCCAGCGATCCGTGGGGGGAGCATTCAGGTCAAGCCGGGGCGGGGGAGTGGGGGTGGGGCTAAACCGCTCTGAACCTCAATTTCAACATCTGCAGAAGAGCCTCGCTGGAAAGGGATCATTCCAAGGATCCAACAGGAAAAATACATTTAAAGCACTTAGGTTTGTGCCAGGCACTTAGCAAGTGTTTAAGGAGTAGGAGCTGGAGCTCTTATAGCTATTTTAGACTCTCGAAATTCATCTAATATAACCAGCGTCATGTTACAGCGAAGGAAATTAAAAGCCAAGATGGAGTCCCTTGCCCCAGGTCCACAGCTCCTGATAAGGTGCGGAACTGGGGGTCCATCCCAGACACCCCTGCTCTGAGCTGTCTGACTGCACCCACTAACTCCCAGGATTCGTTCGGCCCCGTTCAGCTCTTCAGTGACCCACAGTTCTCGAACTTTCCACCTTTGCCCCCTGCCAGCCGAGTCTCCACCCTCAACATCCTCTCAATCTCTTGAACCCTGCTCATGTTGCTTCCAAAATAGCCTGCAAGAAATGCCTCCTCCTCTCCTGCCTCGTGGCTAATGCAGCTGCCGCTCTTTCTAGAAGATTCTCCCTGGTCTTTATCTTTGGCTGGCTCCTTCAAAGTTTGAGCTCACATCTCCTCCGCAGACAGACCCGGCCCAACGACCCCCCTGGCTGGAGTCACCCCGCCCTGCCCACTTGCTCCTGCCCTCTGGTTACGTCGTCCTGCGCGAGACCTTCCGGCACTGGCTACCTACCGTTCCTTCCTTCTTTATTTCCTGTCTCCCTTACTAAACATGAGCTCCAAAAGGGCAGAGAAGACGTCTTCCTTGATCACTGCTGTGTCCCTAGCACCTAGCCCAATACGTGGCACATAGGTGCTCAGTAGATCTAAGCTGGGTGAATGAGTGAATGAATGAATGAATGAGTGAAGTCCAAAATCAGTGTACTATGCAACACCTGGACAGGACCTGCTGGCTTGTCCCCCCTTCCTGGCCTCCTAAAAGAACAGCGAGAGGCTACCCGCAAGACAGGGACCCTTCCAAACAGGCTTCCCCCGCAAAAGCACATCTTGCAGTCAAGGGAGATGGGCGGATGGCTGCTAATCGCGCCTTCCAACTGGGCTGATCTTTGGAAAGTTCGAGAGGCGCCTGCCTCCCCAAATCCCGGGCTGCTGCGGCTGCTGAGGGTGGGGAGGGAGGAGAAGGGGGTGCGCGCTTGGGCGCCTCTCGGGCTGGCAACGGAGAAGCCACGTCCCCTCCTCCCTCCCTGCACCTCCCCCCCCCCAGCTCCTCTCCAAGAGAGGAAGCTATGCAGATGGAGCCGAGAAATAAATATTCCTGCCTGCTCGGTGCAGACGTTTTCCAAAATGTCTGGCTTGGACCACGGAATCAAGCCCACCCAGGAAAGGAGGCGCTCAGCGGGAGAAAGAGGGGGGAAAGGGTGGCATAGTTGCCGGTGCTCGCTCGTCAGCTTTCTGGGGGGCAGAGCACATGGCTCGGGCTTGGCAGGCCCGCGGAGGTGGGGACGTGGTAAGTGCACAGTAATACTTGAAGAACTGAATCAGAAACGGGTGCGGAGCTGCGGAGACGGTGCCAGGCGCCGGCTCGAGCTCCGCGCCTTCGCAAGGTCGCCTAAGACTCACAGCTGGTTCTTGGGTGGCCTTGAAAGCTCCGTTCCACCACTACCTGCTGCCCCTGTGCAGCTCTTCCCCCCCCTGCTCCTCTCCTGCAGGGAAATCAACACACCTGGGCTGCAGGAAGCCGCTCGAAGGCCCTTTGGAATCGGGGCAGGAGCTCAGAAATCCACGCGTGGAGACATTTCTGCCACCTCTGAGCACAGCTTGCCCCCACCCCCACCCCCCCATGCTGGAGCGCTGGCGGGAGACGAGAACATGGGCTGCAAATGATAAGTGGGTGCTTTTGGCCTGGAGATGGCCAAGTGTGGGGGAGAAGTGTCACTAAGAAGGGAAGTCACAGGCCCAGCAGCAGGCACCAGAGTGTTCTGCATTTCGGTGCCTCTGCTAGGCATTCTGTGAGGCTGCAAAATGTCTCAGGAAAGAGAGAGAGAGAGGAGAGGATGGGAGTTTCAGCTGGGAACACTCTGCACAGGATGCCCTGGGGCTTCCTGGCTTCTCACCCTCCCGTCAGCCTCCCCGGGACTAAGTTCTTGCTATTGCTGCCACCAGACCGCCCTGCTGGCAGCCCTCTTGGAAGGTCAGCAGTCAGGGTGGCACGCCCTGGGTGGATTGGATTCTGCTCAATCAAGGGCACAGGGGCATTCCTGGGTTTCCCAAGTTCAAGCCCAGTGCAGGAAAGACAGTCGCTCCAAAGGAAAACTCACAAGAAAGCAATGTCTCCAGTGGGTGTCAGGGGAACATTTTCCAGAAATGTCGCATTTGATTCTGTCTCTTTTCACCATTGCCACCGCTTTGCTGAGGAATGAAACGTTGTCTAATATTTCCCACTCATGTGCCCTGAATCCTCCTTTACGAATCTTCCCCGCTCACTTGCCCATCTGCCTTCCAGCGCCAGGCAATTGCCAGCTCAATCCCACTCTCTCCTGGAAGCCGTTCGGTGGTGGGGAGAGCTGGCAGGACACCTAGGCTCCTGTCCCCGCTCTGCCCATTGCTGTGTGACCTTAGACAAATGACTCCCCCTCTCTGGGCCTTGGTTTCTTTGTTTGTGAAAGGCGTGGGTTTGGATAGGTTTCCTTTCAGCTGTGATACATTACGGGTGGTTCCACAGAGTGACATTGGGTAGAATTCTTATTGTCACCGTCCCTTTCCCACCCCACCTTGGCCAACAAGCTGCGGGGTAGGGGCCATCACACCTCTGGGGCGTGTGAGTTCAACCCTTATACTTAGGAAGGTCAGCGCCGCACGTGAAAATAAGCTGGACGCACAGATGCGTGGATGCTGTCTGGAAACTACTTTAAATGTTTTCAGTTTATATTTCCCTTAATTCCCAGGAAGATTAATGTACGGGTTGGGGAAAGATCAAAGTAGGGTATATTTGGAAACAGGTCACATGCAAGTATGTCTGCATCTTACAATTCCCATATTTGTTACCTTTTATTTTATTTTATTTTATTTTTTTGAGACAGAATCTCACTCTGTTGCCCAGGCTAGAGTGCCGTGGCGTCAGCCTCGCTCACAGCAACCTCCAACTCCTGGACTCAAGGGATCCTCCTGCCTCAGCCTCCCGAGTAGCTGGGACCACAGGCATGCGCCACCATGCCCGGCTAATTTTTTTTCTCTATATATTTTTAGTTGGCCAATTAATTTGTTTCTTGTTTTAGTAGAGACGGGGTCTAGCTCTTGCTCAGGCTGCTTTCGAACTCCTGACCTTGAGCTAGCCTCCCACCTCGGCCTCCCAGAGGGCTAGGATTACAGGCGTGAGCCTACCTTTTATTAATAATAACTGTCAGTTACTGAGGTCTGCTATGAGCTAGGACTATGTTAAGCTGTTCAGCTACATTATTACCCTGACAGCAGCTCATTACGGAAGACCTGATCCATCCTGCCCTCTCATATAGATAAAAAAAACCTGAGGCTCAGAGAGAATGACCCACTTGCTTGAGATCATACAGCTGGCATTAACTACCAATACTAATTAATATTGGCAATAGGATTTGAGCCTGGTTCTGTTGGATTCCAAAGACAATGATAGGCTATCCACTACCCAGTGTGGGGCCTTGTCTTGGCATTCAACACCCATCTGGGAGATTCTTCCTATAATGAGGCTGTTTTAAAGACCCATAGGTAGTGGGTCCTAAATTGGCTGCTTGTCCTATGGCATTGCCAGAGGGAAACAGCTGGTCTCAGAGCCAGCAGGAAGCTGCTGTCAGAAATGACACGGAAGGTCGCAGCTGTGGTGTTCGCTTAGCACGGGGAAGGCTGGGAGGGCCGGGACCCTGACCCAGCCCCTCTATGGGGACCATCGCTGTTGATCATTTATCTACAGAAAATACGGCTGGCTTCTGCCCTGCATCCTCTACCTCACTTCTATGCCCTCGTCCAAATCTGGCACGGAATTGGTAAAGAACTTTCAGAATTGGTAAAGAACTAAATCATCCACTGCAGACGTTGTGAACTCAAATGGCTCCCAGATAGGTACGTGAACGAACGAAACAGCCAGAAGAAGGCTTGCAAACACAGGGCCAGTCTACAGAGATGACCCAGGGGTCCTCAAACTTTTTAAACATGGGGGGGCCAGTCCACTGTCCCTCAGACCGTTGGAGAGTGTGCACTGTGGGCCCGGGACGAGTCGGCTGCTAAGCAGGACAGGCAGTGGTGGCAAAAACACCGGGCGGGCCGCACGTGGCCCTTGGGCTGTAGTTTGAGGACGCCTGAGTCCTAGACCAGCTCCAGCAGGCTGTTGTGACACACACACAGGTTTCTCTCCCTGTAATACAGACTTCTCTGTGAAGTCTCCTGATTTTTAAGTGTGGGTAACTAATTCGGTTAGGAAGAATGCACTCCACGCAGTGAGGATCATAGAAAACACGTTTGCAACCCTATCTGATCTGCAGGTCTCCACCTGCAATCCCTAAAAGTAATTTTCTTTATTTGCAGATGAGGAAATGGTGGCCCACGTTAAGTAATTTGCCCGAGACAGCTAAGGCGGGCGGAGGCAGCAAACTCTTTGGATACAGACATACAGAGATGTGTGTGTGTACATAGACATACACACGCATTGCACATTCACAAATGAAAGAGAAATGACGCTAGATTACCGGCTATCACGAAATGTCCTGCTTGTTTGCTTAGTGTTAACATCACACACACTAATAGGTGGCTGTAATTCACACCCGTGTACCCGAAACAACATGACACAATAGCACCCCTCCCTCAAACCGAACCCAAATGGAAATTAAAAAAAAAAAAACCAGCAGAGAAAGAAGCTCTTTACTTACGGTAAATGACAGAAAAGAAGAAAACAAAGTCCCTTCGTCATATCTCGATAATTTTGCCAGTACTCCTTCCAAGATAGTAACGAACTAGGAAGACAGCAAAAAAGAAAAAAAAAAAATTATTATTTCAAACCATAATCGTGCACGATAAAGAACAACATTTCCCAAACACACAGAGGCCGGGATCGAGCCCTCTGCTCATTTCTGCATTCTATTATTCGATCCCCGTCTTCGGAGAACGGAGTAGACTGGCTTTACATGGAAATATTTGACTTATCCGGCTTTCTCTTCATTATTATGTGATTGCAAATATAGAGTGTTACAGAAGTGCAAAGTGACAAAATATTATTGAGTTGCATATAGCATGCGATAATATTAAATGCACTTTTTAAAATCCAAAACTGCGCAAAGCAGTTTTTACGTTACATATTAGCACTACATTTAATCCAATCTATTTTTATTTGTATTTTATCAGTAATTTGGGGGAAACAGAAGTTTAGCACTGGCAAATATAAATGTCTTCCCATTCAGCATTACTTAGTTAAAATTCTATAATTCATGAGGGTGACTGAAATAGCTTTATCTGACTTTTATGTTTTATTATGACTCTCACTGCATGTGAAACTAGAGGAAAAGAGGTTTTCATGATGGCAGAATTCCTTATTACCGTTTAACTTTCTGTATTTAAAAATTTAACTTTGTCAGTGCTGCAAAACAAAACAAACATTTCCTGCATAACCTAGCGCGACGTTCGGGGACAAATTCCTATTAAGTTAACATATGCCACTTCATCAATTTATCTTCGCACGGCTTGAGATCATCGGAAAATCATTTCGAGCCGCGGCTGGGTGATGTACAATCTTGTTTCCTGAGAGACGCGATGATCCAGCTCAACTTTTTAACGTGTTACATTTTAATGGAAATGCAGAGATAACAAAGCAACGTTGGCAATGAAACATTTCACCTGAAGCTGGAGGTTACCTTTGCAACCAAGAGTGTTATCATTTCCTTAACAGTTTCTTCAATTAGTTCGTCTATTTTTGAGTGATATTGATGCTAAAGGACACAGAAAGACAAAATATTAGCATGGCTGGGAGGCGATGGCATTGCACCCAATCAGTAATTTTTAGACAATGCAATTTATCAATAAAGCATGCCCTGCAAACCCAGTTTATTTCTTTAGTCCCAGGAATATCTGCAAGATCCTGACTCCAGGTCTTTGATGAAGAGAGATCTGAAGCGCTTTAAAAAGATCACCCGGCTTATTATTATTCACCCAAGGCTTTCCGATGTGTGTAATACCTACACACCTTTACAGATAGCACGAGTACATGGCTTAACAGCCTGGCAGCGTGTTCATCTGGATCTTACAAAGCAAGGTACCCTGATGATTTAGCACAGGAAATGAAAATTATTTTTGGAAAACTGCTGGGGCATGTAACTTAGGTACAGCAATCGTTCCAAGGGGAATTTGACCAAGACACCGTGACTGATTTTGCAAAAACTGTTCTGAAACCTTTCAGGTACTTTGGGTTCATGCCTCAGAGCCCCCTAATTTTATCTCCGGGTTTTGTGTCCAGGCAAAAGCATCTCTTTCTGAATCCTTGAGGCAAGCCACTCATTTTCTCTATTCACTGACAAGCAGACCCAGCCTGTACTGAGACCGCTGCTAAGTTTTTCAATTTCTCTCTAACTGCGGCTGTCGATTAAATTTAAATAGTAATGAATGTGAAAACAAACAAAAATCTGCTGTAAATGCCAGGGAAAAAGGAAAAGTGATTTCAACACAAAATATCATATGCCAGCTCCTTGACATTTATTAGGATTATTTTAGTATCCATTTGAACTATTCCACATTTCCTTAACAAAAAATAACAATGCCAAACATTGTTATTTGAAAAGGAAAATGCACTTACCCACTCTTTAGCAAACTTTCGGAAGGATGATTAATTAGAAACGGAAGAAAAGAAGGAACAGTACAAATAAAAATTAGGACAAAAGGACACATGAGAAAATAAAAAATTAAATAAAACAGCCAAAAAACGAGGTAAACATACTGAAATAAGCCACAGTAATATGGTTTCGTATTCTGATAACTGACAATCAGAATTATTGCAAATGAGCAAAGTGATGTGAATTAGGTTCATTCATTTAGAGATATAGGGAAGGTCGGTTTGTTATCAGAAGACCTGGATAGAGTCCCAGTGCAAAGTTGGGAAGTCGTGTTGCCTATAAAAATTTAGCTCAGTTTCCTTATCTGTAAAAAACAAAACAGATAATATGATCACCCAGAGCTAACGAGAGGGGAGAAGCCAGTACAAATTGCTGATTTTGGAAAGGGAATGAGGCCAATCCTGTATAAAATTTTTTAGTGAGTCTGTTCTATTATAATTATTTTAAAAACCAGTGCCCAAACCCATTCCTGGCAGTCATGCTCTTAGACTTATCGGTCTCTGATTTGAAGATCAAGTGAAGGTCCAGACATGAAAACATTTTGTCAACTATCGTTGTAATTCAAATATCATTATTTGTTCAACTTCCTCAAGGAGAAAGATACGGGCAGAGAGAGACAGTCTTATTACTTAGTCCTCTCATCTCGTTTCGTTTTAGTTGATTAGAGAAAAAACAATAAAGTAAATGGTACATATTGTATCATCACCCAGATGAGTCAGAACCCGTGTTGGCTATATCGCTAGATCTCAAAAAGGATTTACTCCTAAGTGCATAAACCTGAAGCTAAATGAAAAAAAAAATTGTCTGCAGAATTCTCTGCTAGAAACACAAAGGAAGATTTCAGAGCAAAAGAATTCAGGAATATTGACAGGGCTCCAAATTCATTTTTAGGTCTTGAGATAAGATCTAGAATCACATGCTTACTTTCTCTCCTAGTGTGGCTGCCTCACTCCACTAGGTTTTTCTTTGGGTTGCTATAAATGAGTCACATTTATTAATTATGGGATTTAACTAAATCAGAAATGCTAGCTGTGTACAAAGTAATACAGTATGGAATATTAAATAAGGGGCTTCTAATCAAGCAAAGAAGAACATCGTTGAGAACAGAAACATTCCCTTAAAAAACTTGGCTGGAATGGTAAAGAGAGATGAGCAATTGTTCGCCACACACCAAGAAAGATTTAGGATCTTGGTTTAAAGAGGGAATGATACCATTCTTTCCCCCAAGAGAAAGAAGCTTCCTCCCTAGGTGATGGGGAACTTCAAACCCTTTCTTAGGGACACCAAGCGGGGACATCAAGGCTTAAGGACACATGGTGGTTTATGGGAAGCTCTTCCTACCTTCAACTTTTCCATGTCAGACTTGGTCCTAACTTCTCTCTGGGTAGTCTCACTACCTCACCCTTTCACACTGTACAAATACTATAATTTCTACTCTTCTTTCTGTTATAATGAACATTTCTTTTTTTTTTTTTTTCTGCATGTAAAACAAAGTGTTTTGATGTGACTATTCTGACTGACTCTTAGTTCCAGGAGAAATTTGAGTATGTCAATCTCTGTTGCCCCATTTCTTCATTTTTGCAGTGGGGCTAGAATCGTCACTGTTGTGAATTCACCCAATTCACCTAACCAAGTAATAAAATAATGCACAGAAACATGGTTTAGAAACTTAAAAGTACTGTGGGGCAGTATTATACCACTACCACCATGTTTGTATACATTTCTCTAAACTCATCGAGAATCCATATATTTTACTGTATATAAATTATGCCTTGATATATGTATATAAAACCTACTTTGGGGAAGATAGTAGAACAGGGTAATAATTACTCTGCTTTTCGTGTAGCAAAGGGAAAAATATCAAAGCAGCCCCCATTTTTATTCAAATAATTACAAAATACATGAATCCCTTTTGCCAGTTTTTCCTGATATATGAAATGTATTGGATTAACTTGCTTTTTGGAACAGTAGTGAATACTCTGCCTTCACTCTTTGCTCTTTCTTGGGAGATATATTGTTCTATGTGGATGGGAAGCTCCATGAATGGGTATATAGACCACTAGAGCATCTTTTAATTATCATCTCTCTACCAGATTATTTTGTTATAAAATCTCTTGCAGTCTGATTGACTGTCTAATTCTACCTGCACCCTAATATGGGTACCAAGAGGGATCTTTCCCATTTTCTTGGCCTCCCTGATGGCCTTCTTGGATTACCTTGCCCTACACCCCTAAATTATATCCTGGGGCCCAAGATCATGGTGATAGCTGCTCAGGGAATGACTAGACTAATCTTCAACAGCATGGAAAGTTTGGAGAGTTCACTTTTGCTTCTGATGAGCTAAACTGCAAATTCACAATCACTACGTGAAAATCATTCCACTTGACTTTCTGTGCTGCATGTTTTGCCTTGTCATAGAACAGATTGTGTGTATGTTGTCTTTCTGTTAAGACCATCTGACCTTGGAAATGAGATGAAAACACACTAGACCAAGTGAGAAACTATTTAATACACAATTTCCTCTCTAGTGGTACTTCACAAATTTTAATGAAGAAATAAATATTTAAGATAGAAAAGTATGGTTAACAAATGTTTCAACAGCTACCTTTAGATGTGACGTTACCCAGTGATGAAATTCAGGAAGTGATTTTAACATTGGAGATTGCATCACCTGGTCAGTATCTAGTCTAAAACAGGCTGAGGGAGTTGAAAGCCAGGGGAAGCTCATACTGGTAACTAGATCTATAATATGGGTGTCATATCCAATAATCACAAAGCGCAAACTACGTAAAAACATTGGACTTCCATCTATTCTTATCCCAATTTCAGGATGTTTTGGGTCATCCTCGGCCAATCTCTCCTCACTTCCCAAAGGTGTCTGTGATTCAGTTATCCAAAGGAGAAATGTCCTAATGTCATGGTAGGCTTGGGAAAACTGACAGTGTTAGGATAAGAATCATAGACAAGAACATAGTACAGGATGGGTGCTTAACAAAGATACTTAGTCTAGGGGTGTATGCACTATTTTGGGAAAACCAAGAAATGTTTAAAAGCCTCAGTTATTATTGTGACTTAAAAAAAAAATTAAAAAAATGTTGAGCCATATGGGGAGTATACATGAAGTCTTTCTTACTTTATCAGATAGAATAATGCCCAACCCAAAGAAATAGATGACTACTCTTTGGCGTCAAAAATGTTACTATTTGAACAAGAAAACTTTATAGTTTCAGATGCAGAAGTTAGATTCATACTTCCCAAAGGTGGTTGCTTCATGCTACATTTTGAATCCAACAAATGACCACAGTATGGTCACAAGAGAAAGTGACTTACTCAAGGTTACACAGTTTAGTAGCATTTAAGTGTGGGATCTACAGGATGTTGCAGCTTAAGCCACTGGACAATTTATTCCTCTAGAAAACCAGACTGCAAGGTTAAGCTAAGGTTATTCTACTTTAGCACAGAAGGGATTCGTGGCAAAGATGAAAGACGGGGTCCACCACTGTGATAAATGTCAACTTATTTCCCGTAAGCTTGTACCTACAGCTGGGGTCTACGATTTGGTCTAGGTAGGTCCACAGGTCTCCTGAAATTGTGTAGTGATATTGGGTGAAAACATTCCTTTTTCCTGGGAAATGGCTCCATAACTTTCATCGTATGATCGGCAGAGCTTGTGACAACGACTTCCTCACTTGCCACTATTCTTCCCAAATCCCCAGCTCAAAATGCAAAAAGTTAAGATCAGAGTGACTTGGCTCATTTGGAAGAATTGTGTAGCCACCTGACCAGGTATGTGGGATCTTTTAAAACATGGCTATAATTTAATCAACCTAGAGAGAGCCTGTGGGAAGGGAAGCCAGTCTTATCGTATCAACCCTTCCCCACCCTGGACTGGGGCCATTCTTGGGAAACTCAGTTAAAATGCACATCTCAAGAAGCTCTAAGAGGAAATAGAGAACTTGAACTTCAACAGACTTAAGGAAACACCATGCGCTTTAAAAGACACTATCAAGAAAGTGGAAAAGAAAACCCACAGAATGGGAAACAATAGTTGAAAATCACATATATGATAAAAGTCTAGTATTCAGAATACACAAAGAATGCCTAAAACTCAACAATAAAAAGACAAATAGCCCAATTAAAAAAATGGGCAGAGGATTTAAGCGGATATTTCTTTAACAAACTATGCAATGGCCAATAATAAACATGAAAAAATGCTAAACATCACCATAAATCGAAAACCACAAGAGATGCCACTCCACATACATTAGGATAGCTATGATAAAAAGACAGATAATAAGTATTGTCTAAGATGTGGAGAAATCACATAGTTGGTAGGAATATAAAATGGTGCAGCCACTTTGGAAAACAGATTGGCAGTTCTTCTAGAAGCTAAGCATAGAGTTACTATGTGACCCAGTTACTATATACTTTTTATGTATATATCCAAGAGAGTTGAAAATATAGGCCCACATGAAAACTTGTACAAGGATGTTTGTGGCAGCATTATTCATAATAGCTAAAAAGTGGAAACAATTCAAATGTCCATCAACTGATGAACGGATAAACCAAACGGGCTATATCCATACCATAGAGTATGTTATTTAGCCATAAGAAGCAAAGATCAATACATGCTACGGCACGCACGAATCTTGAAAACATTATGCTAAGTGGAAAAAGCCAGACACAAGAGGGCATATACTGTGTGATTGTATTTATATGAAATGTTAAGAATAGATAAATTCTTAGGGACAGAAAGCAGATTGGTGATTTTCTAGGGCTGGAGAGGGAGGAAGGTAGGGAGGGGAATGACTTATAATGGGTACTCGGTTTCTTTCTGGGGTGCTGAAAAATGTCCTCAAATTGACTCTAGTGATGGTTGTCTTGCTTTCTGAATATACTAAAACTGTTAAATCATGCACTTTAAAAGGGGTGAACTTAATGGGTGTGTAAATTATGTCTCAATTAAAAAATAAAAAGCAGCTCCAAGTAGAGAAAAAAACTAAGGAGGGCCAAGATTCTGGAAGGGACAAACTCAAAGGGATCGTAAAGAATTTTCAAGATCACCAAGCACAGAGGGCTCTTAAAGTGGGCTCTGTGAAGCCGAGAAGATTGTCCAGACTGAGAAGCTCTGGAGGGCAGTGGGCAGTGCAGGGGTACAGAACTGGGAGCAACTGGGCACCCGGGGCTCCTTTCCCTCGACCTCCCCCTCCCTCTCTGCAGGCCCTCCCCCCTCCCAGAGCAGTTCTATTTTTATTCCTTTCACCTGCTGGCCTTTTTGGTATGGTTTGAAGAACTGATTCTGCTGCTAACAACAAACAGCCTGAATAAAAGTGGAATAGTGCTACCATTTTACAGATAAGGAAACTGAGGCTCAAAGAGGCTGAATGACTTTTTTTTTTTTTTTTTTTTTAATTTTAGTGTTTTGGGACAGAGTCTCACTCTGCTGCCCAGGCTAGAGTGAGTGCCGTGGTGTCAGCCTCACTCACAGCAACCTCAGACTCCTGGGTTCAAGCGATCCTCCTGCCTCAGCCTCCCGAGTAGCTGGGACTACAGGCATGCACCACCATGGCCGGCTAATTTTTTCTATGTATTTTTAGTTGTCCAGCTAATTTCTTTCTATTTTTTAGTAGACACGGGGGTCTCACTCTTGCTCAGGCTGGTTTTGAACTCTTAACCTTGAGCGATCCACCCACCTCGGCCACCCAGAGTGCTAGGATGGCAGGCGTCTGAATGACTTTTAAACTCCAGTTTGCAGCAAGGCCGCGGGAAGAAACCTGGTGTCTGAACACTCCCACCCAGGTCTTCCTGCCTAAGCCCTTCTTTTTAACTCATTTTTAGGCAGTGAGCCTCCAGATCAGTGGTTCTCATCATGTGGTCTCTGTAGCGGCCAGTGGCATCAGTATTACCAGGAAACTTTCCAGAAACACAAATCTTAGACCACTCCCCAGACCTGTCTGAAACTCCTGGGGTGAGATCCAACAATCTAGGCGTTAAGATGCTCTCTAATGAGTTTAATGCACACTGAAATTTGAGACCCACTGTTCTAGACCCTTAAATGAGCCAAAGGTGCCCGGAAGGACAGTTGATGGCCCCCTGCATGGGACTCCAGTGTCTAGAATGTAACCCCCAGGGAAAGGTCTTAGAGGAGAAAACTCAGGAGCAGAAGTCACCCAGGGTGGGGGCAGGGGCTGAGGAAGCCGACTCGTGGAGGAAACAAGGTTGGAGGCGATCTTGCCAGGAAGAGAATACCACCAACCCACATTTAAAAATGGAAGGTGCCGAAACAGAAAATAAATAACGAATAAGGAGCAAATATAATTTAGTAAAAATTCTGAACATGTAAGCTGGTATCGAAAGATCTGATTTAGGAGCAATTTATGCCAATTGGCAACAACATAGAGTTGCCAGAAATGTTTCTGAATTAATTCTAAATTGGTATATGAATATCGAGCTGGCTTAAGGCCATCAGAGAAAAATGATCATGATAGTCTTTAATCAAGCTCGAGTTGCTGTTTCCTTCTCCTTTACATTTTAAATACCGCTTTGGAATTGCAAACTTAGCAAAGGACTAAACTTTTGGTCAGGGAAGATTCACAATCTACCCAGTGCAAGGAAAATTGAAAGTTTGCAATTTTTTCGGAATTCACAACGATTGCTGGCTGGCGATCGGGTATAGCAGGGCGATCTAACATCATATATCCAAGGCAAGACAGGGCTTTCCTGCTGTCCAGATGTTCAAAGTGGGAAAAATGCACTTCAGACCTGGAAATGACTTGCATTCTGGCAAACACAGATCTGTCGGAGACACCAGCCTAATCAATAAGGTCGTCAAACATCCTTTAGCTTGAAGGAACGTGACGGCCACCCCAACTCCAGCCAAGAATCACTTCCAAGAGACTGGCATTCTTATCAGCACATGCCTTAGAAATTCACTTGACAAACAGATACAGAACACTCATCCATGGCTCAATCCACAAATGTTAGAGAGAGTATTTCTGAAACTAGCAGACTAGGGTAGGTGGAAGGAATCTGTGAAGGTTTCTTCTACATGATCAATGGAGAGGGGAGAAAAAAAAAAATCTGCATTTTTTTTTTTTTTTTTTTACCTCTTGGCCCATTTCCATGCTGCAAAGTTTTGTTGATTGAGCTTTGGCATCCACCATAACATTAAACATGGTGCATATTGACTGTGGGACTCGAAAATCTGTTGATCGACTGGTTTTTTGCAGCTTAACTTCAAATGCAATCCTGGTTCTATTAAAACAAAGTAGGAAAAGACCAATTCAGCGTTCAGATGGCAGCAGGTGGAGGAGGCATTTTCTGAGAGGTCAGTGAAAAAGAAAATTGAAGGCTGTAATCAGTTTCAAGTGACAATGACTTCACACGGGCTCTCTTTGAAATGACTTCCCCAACTAAGGCAGGCCTATTCAGGGAGACAGCCACTCACACCCTTCCTTTCTTGGCAGGACTTGGAGCACCTGTGGCTTAGCGGATTTCTGTCTATAGTTTACGTGCTACAGAGAACCCTAATTGCAGGAGAACGAATGGATTCATGAAAACCCGATTAGAGCAGTACGGCATATGTAAGTTCTCGCATGTCGGCAACTGCCTACCTTGAATTACTTCATTAAAACGACAACAACAAAACAACAAAAAAAGCCATTTTCTAATCTTCAAAAACCTCACGGTGGAGAAAAATCTCAAATGACATTTATTATTATTTTTTCCTTTCTGGTTTGAAAAAGGACTGAAATTTTTTAAAATGCAGCAAGTTTATTGTAGTGCCTTAAAGACTAAAAAAATAGTTTTTGCTTGTTAAATGTAAAAAAAAAAAAAGGAAATACATCAAGCTACTAAAGATGGCTACCTTTGGGAAGGGGAGTGAAATTAGGAGGAATGGTATTGGAGAAACTCCACGATGTTTTATTTATTTTCAAAGTCAATATATTATTTTGCTATAAGGATGTATTATTGTAATTAAAAATGTCATAATATATTTAACATACAAGTATCTTTTATATATATATATATGTATACACACAGACACATTTTATATACATAACATGTAATTCAAGGCCTGTGTCATGGTAGAATCCGAATGTGACCTAATTCTGACATAGGTCAAGTGTCCAGCAATACGCTCACCAACTCATAGGGGAAACCTAGCCCAGCGTGGTCAGCTGGTAATACAGATGTGAGGTCTAATCTTTGACATCAGCATCGTAAAGGGGCCTGGTTACATCTGAAAAGGTTTCAGGGCAACGGATCACATCACCTGGCGAGTAAGTGGCTTAATTCAAGCCCCTTTTCTCGGATGCATCTTTCTCGCATTGCTCACTGTCAGGTTCTGGAGATCACGCAGCCAACACCAGCAAGGAGCTGCTCTAAGAGGAATTTGTAGCAGTTTTGTAACAGTGCATAGGAGGACCACACAGCTAGCTAGCTCAGGAAAGGATGCCAGCTTGCTAACACACCCTGGGTGCATGCAGGGAAGCCAAGTATAATTTCTAAGGTTGGGAGCCCAGTTCTTAAGAAAAAAAAAAAAAAAACAAACCCTAAAAAACCCAAACCCTTAAAACACCCCTATATATTATATGATCATGTGAAAGATAAATGCATCTTGGCTTCTAAAGACTCAGTGCACCAAAGTAGCTTTCTAATCATGATGATCATTTTAAGCTACGCTGAAAATACATCATTTGCTGGGTTTGGGAGAAGGAGGCCCGGTGGGGACCGAGTTGGACAGGTCCCCGCGCTGATCTTCCGAGCCTTGTGTGCCAGTTCCGGCCCAATCTGAGAAATGGCAACGCTAACATCGCTCCCTTCCAACGAAGCAATCATCTTCTGTTTTCACAGGAGAACTGTTCCTAGCCTTTGGAGTGCAGGGTTGTGAAAAGAGGAAACTGAATGCAAAATTAATGTGGCAGAAAAGGTTCTAAAGGAACCAAAAAGCCAGGCTTGGAGAGGTCACTGAATCCAACAGACTCTCCTTTGTTTTGTGTTCAGCGCAGGACCTGATACTGACTAGACCGTAGGCTCTGCAAACCTCAGTCGAATTAATGTAGTCAATTTCTTGGAAACTGACGCAGGAGGAGTGCCTCCCTGACTTCTTGGCGTTGCATATTTATGTTTACGAAACATTGTCCCTTACTACACGGGCCTAGAAAAAAAGTTATTTATTCTGTCCCAAAGAGGAAAAAACAATGGTTCCGGGCTCTTCTAATGTAGATTGTATGTCTTAAAACACCCAAGAGCTGCTCCATGTTCTATCCTCTGAATCTGGAAGTCTGAGGATAATATTTCCACCTACTTTCGCTCATGTCTGTTCTGTGTGCCTAGGGCCTTGGTTAAAAGGGACACCAGGAAATTTGAGGGCCTAGGCCAGTCATACATGAGCACTGGACCCATTTCTGTCGATAAAAGGTTCCTTAATAGCTACTCTGCACCAAGCATGATGCTGAGACCTGGGGAGGGGGAGGAGAACCGAATGAGCAAGATCCACGCCCTGCCTCTGTGCAGGTCACCCTCCTTGGGTGTCTGAGCCACAAAGACAGGATTACAAGGTAGGAAAGGATAACTCAAAGTCCCTATCCACCTTTGACTTCCTCATATCTTGCCTTTTTCTTACCCCCTACCCAGAAGACTGGCTTCTTTCTCTCAGTGAAGAAGGACGTACATTTCCTGCTGTACAATTGGGTGCATAGGTCAGGCGCTGGTAAGTCTTAATTATTATATAATTATTATTATTATAACTATTATTTCAGCCCCTTAGGACAGATCATGCAAGAATTTTTTTGGTGGAACGCTTTGGCCACTGGAAAAGCATCGCTTTTCCTAAAAACTGATGTACCGTGTTTCCCCGAAAATAAGACAGGGTCTTATATTTATTTTTCCTCAAGAAGACACCCTAGGGCTTATTTTCAGGGGATGTGTTATTTTTTTTTAAGTACGGTACAACCATCTACATTGATTCAAATAGAATTAAGTCGTCTTCTTCTGGAACATCATTATCACTCTCCAAACCCCCGAATCCCATCCTGAATGTCTTGCGACTCTATTTCCTTTAGAACCACTGGCCCCCATCTCTCAAGTCAAGCACTAGAGCTCTTGTGGGGCAGATGAGAAGGGCTGCTCCTGTTCTTTCCCGCCCGGCGACGACATGCACGATTGTACAGATGCGCTGCATAGCCACGCCCATCACTAGGGCTTATTTTCATAGCCACGCCCATCACTAGGGCTTATTTTCGTAGCCACGCCCATCACCAGGGCTGATTTTCATAGCCACGCCCACCACTAGGGCTCGTTTTCGGGGTAGGGCTTCTATTGCCCATATGCTTAGAAATCCTGCTAGGGCTTATTGTATGGGTAGGTCTTATTTTGGGGGAAACATGGTAAGCAACGTAGGAGGTAGTAGAATTCAAAACCCTAAGGAGATATTTGGACCTTGGGTTTGAGAAATCAGCTTGCCTTTGGTTCTAAGAGTGAGAAGAAAAGAGCAAAACTCAAAATCTGAATCACTAGGACTTCAAGCTTCCAGAGATGGCATCCAACACCAGCCCAGATTCTCCATACCAGGTAGTTCCTTCCCCAATGCCTGTGAGATCCTATCCACATACCTGGAATTGCGTTGCTCTTTTGCCCCTTTTGGTTTCCACGGTTTTGATGCTTTTTCTTCTTCCAAGATATAAAATGATGAATTAAGCGCACCCCAGCCAAACCCGGCTCCCATCACCCACAACTGATCCATCAACTAAATTATACAACATCTGGGGATTCAGAGTAGCCTGTGCTGCTTATGGTCTATTTTTTTTTTTTTTTTGAAGGAGGAAAAGTTATGGAATGGTTATGAACTGGAAAAGGAACTTGGATGTATATCTGGGGGTAGACAGTGTGATGGTGATGAGGTCACATCGGTGGAATTCTATTTCTGTACCTGGTATTCGGACACTCATTCTTCGTTGCATGCCAAGAACTTAGCCCTGTGCCTGGTCTACAGGAGGAGCTCAGACGATGCTTGTTGACTGCATGAATGTTGTCCTCATTTTCTTTCCCTCACCTTCTCTGAACAGTCTGCCTGGGAACTTCCCGTACAGCAACCCTACCCCCAGTCCGATCAGCCCCAGTGACAAAACAGGCAATTTGTGCGCAGGCAAAATGTAAGTTTGATGTTTCACCACTTCCTGGTTGATATTCAGCTAGATTTTGGGCAGGACAACTAGTGGCACGTAGCAGGTGCTCATTTCTTATATACAGAGTGAATCACAAGGCTGAGGCCCTGCTCACATAGCTGGAAAACCAGTAGATTCCCGCTACCTATTCTGGACATGCTGGCTCTAGAATGGTATATTCTTTCTTGTCTTTTTTTTTTTTTTCCATCCAGCTATCCTTCCTGAGCATGCTCATACACATAACCAACATTTATTAGTTAAGCATTTTGTACCAGATACAGGTAGATATTGGGGGTACAAAGAGGAATACAAGAATGGACAGGGATCTTTTGCGCATAGAGCCAACAACCATGAAAAAATTGGCAGCCAGAATATTTTGGGGTTTTGGCAGGTGAATGAATGGAAGCTAGACTTTGGAAGCTACCACTCCAGGTGACTTTGACAAGCAGTCGTCTCCTCTAAGAGACTCCAAATGACGGCCAATCGAAAGAGCAGCCATCTAGCCTTCCCTGAGCCTGTGTACAGCAGGCAAAGTGTGTAGGGCCTGTCCAGCCACCCGTGCTTACCTTTTGACGCAAGACTCAATCATGTCACTTGCCATCAACTTCAGCCGTTGTTCCAGATGCTTCCCAAACTCTTCTTCGGGCCAGTGCAAGTCCCGAATGAAGGTCTGGAGGGCGTCGAGCTTCCAGAACAGATCTTCCGAGGTGCCTGATCCGTTACTGGCAGGATAAGAAAAATGAGAAAACAAGAGTCACCCAGGGACCTCGGGCTCCGGAAAGACTGGCACAGAGACAACCGGGGGGGTCAGAAGGCTTAAGGCAAACAGTAGCTCCAGCATACAAAACCACGTGTGCTGGCGGTGGAGGAGACTGGACCATCTCCACCGGCAGATCTTGAGTTTTACCATACACGAGTTAGTCTGCTTTGCTCGGCCAATTGCTCCAGACCAGTGAGGAGTCCGAAGGAGGTGTTGCCCCGTCACAACCAGGAGAATGGTGTATGGTAAAAATCAGCCTTCTTTTAATAACCACATTGGCACATGTGATGATTCAGATGAAGGCCACGGACCAGGGGGAGAGAGACGTCTCAACGGATAATAACTACATGGCAACATGCAGTTATTAAAGACTCCGGGTTTCATGCATTTCCCCAGCTCCCCTCCAGACCGGAGGGGCCTCTTGGAGATTGCACAAGACTTGTAGTTTTCAAAGAACAGTGCTAACAAAGTGGTGAGCGAGGACCCGCTTTCTCTCTGGAAGCGCCGGAAAGAAACCGGGATGACTCCATGGATATACCTGGATACCTTGAATCTGAAATTCTCGTTCAGTTTGGTTGTGACTCCAATTTTCCTAGACCAGCCCATTTGCATAGGCGGAGTCCTCACCAGGGTAAGGTGAGTGGAGGCAGGGGGAAGTTGGTGGACAAGGAGTATTTTCAGTGCTTTAGGGCTCAAAACCTGAGCTCTTTCACCGTTGCTCCATCTTACCCAGTCCTCTCTGCAGATGGGGACATTGGTCTCGATGCCTTTCTGCATGCAGTGACTTCTAAGGGACTTTTACCTGGGGCTTCCACGGAAAGCCTGCGTACGAGAAATGCTCCATTTCTCACCCTTCTTGCCCTCCTCTGGCTGGCCTTCTCTTTTGTGGCAGTCCCATTTGGAGCTCTGAGGGGTGCCCGCCCCCTTCCTCGCATACCACTAATGCTAACACGGTAATTTATAAAATGTCCAACACACCATGCATTACCACTCGTTCTGACATCGTCTATAGAAACAGATGAGAGTGGGTGTTTCTATTGTGACAGATGCCAGCTGCATTGAATTAATGCTTCAGAGAGAGGAATATAGCTAGTGCATAAATGCATACACAGCTATCGCAGGGCAGGGGCGGGGGAGAACTCTCAGCATGCCGAGAGGGAGCCTACGGCCTGGACCGCCAGGGCAGTGCTCTCTAGAACAGACCAGCCTACGGTCAGTACGGAGAGATATCTGACACGAAGGAGCAGGTGACATAGAAACACGTCCTTAAAAATGAAAGGTGGCAAAGGAGGAAACCGGAATTATGAAAAGATATAGAATCAGGCATTTCCTGGTGGGAGCTTGAGAATCCATGCCTTCTTTTCAGATACCGTCTGTAAGCATCATTCGAAAGTGGGGGGATGCCTTGGCTCTCTGTGAGAAGTTCAGCCTTCCCCCCCGAACCCCGTCCTATGCTTGGGAGAAAAAGCAACCCCAACTTTGTCTAGTCTAAGCCCCGTTTTGGAACTGCATGGTTGTATGTTTTAAATCATTAAGTACATATGAATGCAATAATTGGTATTTATTACAACAACATTTTGACACCCATCTGGTTTCAGAGTTTTTTTAAAAAAAAATCTTGTGGGGTTTTTTTTTTCTTTGAAGAGCTTATTATTAAGTTTTGACATGAGGAAAAGAATATTTTCTTTTTATTTTTAAGATAAACTGTTAATGTTAAGGCAATAGCACCAAGATTATTTTGATTGCTGAGCAGTTACCAAAATGTGTTCCCACTCATGACTTAATTAATTGAACGGAGACCATTATCTGCTTTATTACAATGTCTTGATTCATATCTTTTCAAAAACAATGTCACAGAGCATGCACAGAAGGAGGTAAGAGAAGCTTTCAGATATTTATTTTAAAATTTCTAACAGATACTACCTAATCTAACTTTTAATATAGTCATCTTAGCATGAATATGATTTGTGTTCGTTTTTAGAAGTGGTTTTCTTTCTTTTTTTTTTCTTAGATACAAATTTTTGGAGGTTTTTAAATTTGTCTTTAAAAGAGAATCAGACACACTGACCATATGATTTCATGAAGATCTTATGAGCAATAATAGGTTTTAAAAAACTATTAGGCAGCTTCGGGGGAGTCAGGTAGAGCAGTCAAGCTAATGGCCTGTCTTCTACCTGGATTACTGCGAAAATGAAAACGCTTAATAAAAACGCTCGGGGCCATCTTGATGAACGTGATTTCAAGATTTCAAAACATCACTGCCAGTTTCAGATCATTTTTTATTCCTTTGATACTAACACTTCTCTTTGAAAATGTGCCAATTTATTCTTTCAAGAAAAAGCTTATCTGGCCTATAATTAGCTGTGGCCTAAGAAAAGGATCAAAGAAGGGTATAGAATCGCTAAACCTTATTTCACTTATTAAATCATACACGTGGTTCTAATTTAATTTCCCGGAGGTAGGATTGATGGGTGCTGGATCTTCTTCTTGCTAAGAACAAAAGGAGAGAGGAGTCATTTCCGAAGCTACGAGAAATGGCTTCTCAATCTCCACACTCCCAAACTGATAGCTTTGAAGAAGTGGCCCGTGCAACCCGGACATTTGTGTGGACGCATGTAAATCATGACCCTATGCTCAGACCATGGATGATATGGCCACCAAATACTCAATTCTTTGTTGCTTGAATCTTGCATACCCAAATTTAGCAACCTCCTTGCTACCTCGATTTCAAAGCACCATATTGTACTACCACCTTGGAAAGTATCTTTACCTAACATCTACATGACTAAAGCTTGATCCACTCAGAAATTTTCATTTAGCCCTGAACATACGGTTACTATATCCTGCCATTTGCTGATACCAGAAATATGCTTTATGGTTTAAACAGTCTCCAGGAATTTTTTATTTTTATTTTTATTATTATTATTTTTTAAAACCAAGCTTTTAGGTATAAGTGTCTTTCCCTCTTAGATGTGGACCAGGCCAGAGACAACTGTTCAGCCCATCAAAGAGGTGTCCTGGACTATTTTTGGACGCCTGACACTCAACGTCTTATCACCTGTATTAACAAACAAACAAACAAAAAAGGTAGAATCCTTTTGCAAAAGACTTCAGGGAGTGAAACATAGCCCTCAAGCCTGCAGTAGGCGTTAAGACAAATTGTTAGTGCTGTATATATAGCAAACATCTTACAAATACGATGCATGCCAGAAATAAACAATATTGTCTCTGTATGATCAGCAAAATATGTCTAATTATCCATCTCCCTCTCTGTTATATAGGATGTATAGAAATAAACAATACATATCCATGCCAAGATCACTGAGATTTAAATGAGATCTGATGTGAACTGAATACACACTCAACATCGTATATAGCAGCCATCCATGACGGTGCCGAAAAGGTAGGCATTTGTGGGATGCCTAGAGGAATGTTAACTGGTAGATTTGGTACTCTGGGAAGGTTCACATTGGGTAGGTTCACATTGGGTAGGTTACTGGTTAAACTCCTGTGGAAGAAACAGACAGAAAGAAAAAAAATACCATCACGGTGACAATGCAGATGTGGTAGAAAGAAGCACAGGACAGTCGTGAATAAACTGGCTAAAGTCCACGGCAAGACAAAACACAGCGAAAACTCAAGCGACACGGTTCAAAAAAGCAGCTTACAGATGGGGCACCGTGGCGTGGCTTCGTATTCAGAGAGAAATGACAAAGGTTAATGGGGAAAAAAAAATCAACCGCAGAGTGACTTAAAAGCGTGGACCCTCATGGAGCACCCATGCACCATGATCACGTCCTTTAAATGCCTCTGGGAGGGGCCTTTGCCAACCAAATCCATTGCTGTCAAAGTTCTAGAACCTGTCACATACTAAGAACTTCAAGTTCCTGCAATTTGGGGCAGGGCCCGGGGCTGGGGCAGCTGTGAAGTGACTTGGGATGGATAGAAATGGCGGAATGCTTCACTTTTCTTATTTTTAACAAATTATTGTTGTTGATGGAGTTAAATATCAGATACAAGATGGAAAAGGGAGTTCGCCCCCTTAAACACACGCATCATGGTGACGTACAGAAATGGAATTCCTTCCAAACGCCACTTCTGAACACAGGTGTACGTGCAATGGGTTGTCAGAGTTGATGGTGAAGATTAAGAAATGGAACCAAGAAGAAAGGTCAGATTTGAATAATTTTATAGAAATAATAATAATTTTATTTGAATGATTTTCAAGAAAATGGGAACTTCCTCTCCCAAACTAAGTCCACTTGAAATGCAGAAATGTTTACATGGAGAGCCAGACACTTAGGAAGAGAAAACAATCCCAAATTCAGCTCTTAAACTCTTCCACCGAAAGTGGATTTAAAATGTGGCTTCATATCAGAGTAGCCACCGTTAAAAGTCAGACAGAGACAGAAAGAAAGCATGGCAGGGGCTTCTGAGGTATCAGGGATGTTCCATTTCTTCACCTGCATGATGTTACGTAGTGAGTTACATGGGTGTGTTCTGTTTGTGCAAATTAATCAAGCTGTGTCTATTTCTGCAAAACGTTAAAAAAAAAAAAAAGTTAAAAATGACCCCAAAGTTAAAAATGCCACCTCGCATCAGTTTTGTTGTTGTTGTTGTTGTTGTTTTTGAACAAAGACAGATCAACGGATGCGATGGAAGAGAGAGATGGATGGTTTTCTACGAGTCAAGAGAGAAAACAAAACAAAACAGAACCCCCCAGCTTGAACCGACTGTGTTATTTCCTCGGAGGGACTGTGTCGCATGCCGCTCTGGGAGCTGGCGCCTCGTGCTTCTGCAGTGGCATTTTAAGGGTGTTCCATCCAGCCAAAGTCACTGGCACGGCAGAGCCCGGCCTCTCTGCATCTGAGAGGAGCCTTCCTGTTTAAGTGGAGCTGACAGCACTTTGGCAGAGGCGCTGAGGTTCTCTTTTTGGATCTTGCAGGAGAAGAGCACGTTTTGCCAAGGCAACTCTGCCCCGGGCAAGCTGTGTTTGAGTAACAGGACTCCGGAGCTGCCTCTGGGCGCGCTCGGGAGCCCGGGGAACATGCCTCCCGCTAAGCCAGACATTCTGGACTTTGTAGGTAGCCCGGATGCCTGTTTCTCTCTAGAAACAAACGACTCTTTGAGGATGGCAACTGATGGCCTTGGCTTGGAGACCGAAAAACCTAGAATGCAAAATTGCCTACCTGGCATTCTCTTCCTTAAAGGGGAAACAGGTGTCCTACAGATTTGTCCTTGTCACCTCACGTTTTGGCAAAGCCAGTGATATATCTCTACCTGGGACTAATGGGTACTCCTGTGGGAATGGTCAAGAGGAGATTAGCAAATGTGGCTATTAAGTAGCAGGGGAAAGAAATGGAATTTTTCCTTCCATGTGTCTCTGTTTAGCTGGGGAATTTGCCTTTGAATTCAGTCCCCGGTGGTTCTCAGCCTTTAAACACTGGCATGTAACAAAACCGTTGGCGATTTCCACCGAGACATGTGTGGGCCTATATAAGCAAATGTGATCATCAAATGATACGCACACTGAATAATGATCAAGGAATTAGGAGATCTTAGGGACGGCATCCTGGAAAGTTAAAATGTCAATTCTGAGCAAATTAAAAGTAGCTAGGAACGAATAACATACAAATGTATGCAAAAGCAACTTAATTTAAACATATTAGCGGATGGTTGGGTACACAAATTAGAAGCGCACTTCATCTTGCACACAAAAAATAAAGGAAAAAAAAAACCCTTTATATTAATCAAAACATATTGTATTTGTAGAATATGACCCTTTTGGCTGGACTACTGCTCTGGACTCAAACATTTCCTTCATGTGACATTTTAGAATGCTCTGCTTTTGAAAGGACGAAACATGCTTGATATTTCTGCTTTTAGCAAAATAATATATTGAAGAGTATATTACTAACGTTACTAATATTTCCTTTGGATATTAGTCATGCAATCATCAAGGAGGCAATTCCAGACATAATATTTCACTAATATACATGTGAAAAGGGAGAATTTTCAAGTAGCACTCAGTTCCAGTCGGGCCCCTGGAGCTGTTGACGGCTGCAATGAATTAGTATTTTAAAGAGGGGCCTTTAGCAACGACCTAAAGACACGAGCCAGCCATGCTTCTCTGTAAGAATCGTGATTGGGCATCTCTGCATAGCATACAAAGTGTACAATGCAGTCCTAGCAACCGATAATATGTTAACATTCAAACTCTTTCACTCATTTTGGGGATTCAGTTGAAATAAGATAGCGCCCATTTAGGTTAAAGGACCCATCCTGGATGGTTTAAAAAAATTCTCATCTACTCACTGTTATGTGGGTGAAGGTTACAGAGTTGTGTGTCTCATCATTTCTACTGATGGAAACGACCAGAGGTGAAGTCATTCCTTCCTTTCTGGAATTAATTCTTTTTTTTTTTTTTTTTTTTTTTTGAGACAGAGTCTTACTCTGTTGTCCGGACTAGAATGGTGTGGTGTCAGCCTCACTCACAGCAACCTCCAGCTCCTGGACTCAAGCCATCCTCCTGCCTCAGCCTCCTGAGTAGATGGGACTACAGGCATGTGCCACCACGCCTGGCTAATGTTTTCTATATTAGTTTTCTATATTAGTTTTAGTTGGCCAATTAATTTCTTTCTATTTTTAGGAGAGATGGGTTCTCGCTCTTGCTCAGGCTGGTCTTGAACTCCTGAGCTCAAGCGATCCTCCCGCCTCGGCCTCCCAGAGCGCTAGGATTACAGTCATGAGCCACCCGGTCTGGCCTGGAATTAATTCTTATTAAGATACTGTCTCTACACAGAAGGGAGATGGTTGTGTCTTCTCTCAAAGACTTTGGTTTCAAATTTATGAGTGGAGTTAGATTTAAGATACAAAATGCCTTCTACTTTTAGGAGTCATTTCTTGCATGAATATACACAGTACATCTTGTCTTCTCTTAGTGCTCTGGACCCTAAAGTCTCTCTCAGTGTTTGTTCTTGGTTTTACTCCTTGATTTGGGGCTTGGGTACTCTTTTCTTTCTTTCTTTTTTTTTTTTTCTTAAAAGAACAAGCAGCTGTACACTCTTTTCTTTCTTCCAAGAGTCTAGGGTGGTATTTCTCAACCTTTTATCCACACCAACTTCCTTCTCCATGAGCATTTAATTTATATGTATATCAGTCTATACACTGTATATAGACCTATGCTTTAATATATAAAAAGACCAAAGTGTTTTTAGACCACCCCCTTCCAGAGCGAGCCAATTCTCACCAGCCCGAGTGCTATAATGTCGCCATGAAGAGGCCTTCACACACAGGAAAAAATTCCAACCTCTATGGGACTTCAGAACCTCCCAAACCTCTCTGCAGCCTCTCTGGCTTGCCTGCTTTGCAATCCACGCTGGCCAAACCCAACACTGACTGTCTCTATCGTGGGTCTTCCTTCCGCCATGTTTCTGCCTTTGTGCGTGGTCTTGCCCAGCGCCCCAGCCCCTCTGAAATCTCACTCCCCAAGCTATCTCCCTCACGACCCCTCCGCAGAAGCTCATTCCCCCCTACTCTACGCTCTCACAACTCTTCCCCATGTTATTTCTGTGTCTGTACCTTGGTAAACACTTGAAGCCATTTTTTCTTGCCTGTATGTTGGTCACACCCAACAAGACTGAAATACTCAATTGGGGGAAATGTGTCATTTTCTCTTTCCCATCCCCACAGCTTTCCTAAGGTAGCCTTACAATCAGGCCTCTGCGTGTTCCTTAATAAATACGTCAATCAATCGGCAAATATCTATTGAGCACTGGTTATGTCCCAGGCCCTGTTCTAGGCGTTAGGAAGGCGGGGACGATCAAGTATCTGTAAGCGTTTGAGCATGAGCAGCCACAGTTTCAGGGATGCTAGCACTGGGGAAAGCTTTGGTGACTTGAAGTCTTCGTTTTACAAAGAAGGACACTGAGTCTCAGGCAGTGTGACTGAGAGGCTTCAATTCTGAAGACTTAAGCCTAGCGTGATGGCGCACGTCTGTAGCTATTTGGGAGGCTGAGGTGGGAGGACTGCTTGAGCCCTGGAGGTGGAGGCTGCAGTGCACTATGATCACACCTGTGAATAGCCGCTGCACTCCAGCCTGGGCAACATAGCGAGACCCCACCTCTAAAAAAAACATATATATATATATATATATATTAAATAAGTTCAGAAAACTTGGTAGACCAGGGTCACCCAGCAGGTCACCAGCAGAGCCAAGAGTTCTGACTCCAACTCCAAAGCTTATCAGTTTGAGACCAGGCCGCCTACATATTGCTAAGGTGTCTTCGGTCTGATGGTTTATTTATTTATTTATTTTTTTGAGACAGAGTCTCACTGTGTTGCCCAGGCTAGAGTGAGTGCCGTGGCGTCAGCCCAGCTCACAGCAACCTCCAACTCCTGGATTCAAGCGATCCTCCTGCTTCAGCCTCCTGAGTAGCTGGGACTACAGGCATGCGCCACCATGCCCGGCTAATTCTTTCTATATATATTAGTCAGCCAATTAATTTCTTTCTATTTATAGTAGAGATGGGGTCTCGCTCTTGCTCAGGCTGGTTTCGAACCCCTGACCTTGAGCGATCCGCCTGCCTCAGCCTCCCAGAGTGCTAGGATTACAGGGGTGAGCCACCGCGCCCGGCCTGGTCTGATGGTTTATTATCACTAACATTACGGTTATGCCAATATGTTCTACTGTAGTCACCATTTTACCACATATATGTATCTTATGTTATATGCCTCAAATATACACAATACAATTTATTTTTTTTAAAAATAGACATTAACATCTTTGACAATTTTGAAAAGGAACATTTTGAAAATACTTTTCATTAAGCGTACCCTAGGCAGAGAGAGAAGATGTACATTTTGAGAAGTGAGAATCTGGATTTTACAGTGTGCATATATAAAGAACCACTCAGGGCCATTCTAACGTGAAATGGGCAATGGCACAACCAAGGGTCCCCTACACCTGGAGGTGTTTAAGTGGAGACCGCGTGACCACCTGTCAGGGAAAGGGTAGTAGGCGGGGGCGAGGTGCGGTGGGGGTGGTGGGTAGTAGACTTGGTAAGACTTTGTATTCCATGCTTTCTAGCTTTTCTTCCATATAGAGAAGGCCACGATGGCTCATTAACAATGAGCCAGTGCTAAAGAGCTGGTGGAAATGTGGTCCACTACTTGTCAGGACCAAAACGTCATGTTCAGGGTGGTAAACCACCTGCCCCACTGTGGGTGGCAGCCCCATGCTATGTCCCAATGGAAACCCACGAGAAGGCAACAGGCTCCAGATTTTACTCCGCCTGGGCCTGACTTTGAGAAGCTGACTGTCTTCAGCTGTGGTTAGAAGCTATGATATGACATTTTCCCACCAATTCACAGAGTCTAATTCTGTGTCTGGCTTCATGGAAACAGAGATGCAACCTCTCTTTTCTCTCCTTGCAGAGACGGAAGGACATCTTTGCAGGGAAGGGCGGCACTAGGACTTAGCCATTTTACCCTTTCCATCAAATAATCTCAACTGGGTCAAGCCTAAGTGATTATATCTCTATTTTCTTTTCCAGGGTCATATGCTGAAACAAGAAAATCTGAATAATAGAGACTATTTTTATTCTGTTTTTAGCAAACTCCTCAATACATTAGTACCATTTTCTTGTCGGAGTGCTGCTTTTCCTTAACATTGTGAATGCGAGTGATTTTGAAGTAAATAATGCATTTCTCATTTTACCTATAATCAGGACTTTTGAAAAGCGGAACTACTTGAGGATAAGCAATTGTTTGAGAGAAAAGCTCTGTGTGTGTGTGTGTGTGTGTGTGTGTGTGTATTGGAAAATTGTGTGGCAAAATTTGAAAAGACTGAGCAAACTAAATCCATTTACCTAAGCTAGTTTCTTGTTTTGAAGTGAGCTTGATGAAAAAGTATTCCAAAAAGATCTTTTTTTTTTTTTTTTTGAGACAGAGTCTCACTCTGTTGCCCCTGGCGTCAGCCTCGCTCACAGCAACCTCCAACTCCTGGGCTCAAGCGATCCTCCTGCCTCAGCCTCCAGAGTAGCTGGGACTACAGGCATGTGCCACTATGCCTGGCTAATTTTTTCTATATATTTTTAGTTGGCCAATTAATTTCTTTTTATTTTTGGTAGAGACGGGTCTCGCTCTTGCTCAGGCTGGTCCAAAAAGATCATGTTTTGCTTGAAAAAAACTCCAAGAAGAAAAATGAATCTCTGCTTTTTTATCAACCCTCTAATAAGTGGTCAGATGAAAACTCACACTTTGTTTCTCCTCACATGGGCAGAAGTACAGAGAGACTCACTCCTCTCAGCACATACATAGGTTCCCAAGCCCTTTGTCACCCTTTGTCCATTTTATGCCATTCTGGGGAGCTGTCCCATGGCATCTGAGTCAGCTAATAAAATGTGTGCGATTTCAAAAATATTTTAATTTAGCTTATGTTTTAGTTGGCACTTCCAAATATCTCTACTCACTCTTAAAGGCACATACTCTGTAGCATGAACTGGACAAACCACAATCATATGCACTAACCAACAGCACAGCTCTGCACAGCAAAAAGCTACTTGAAAAACACATGCACATCTATGTAGTTCTCAGGTTGTTATTCACAACGATTACTCCTTTATACATTTGCAGATCTTCAAATTGTCCATCCAAGAGTTCAAATTTTTTTGAATCGGAAAAAAAAAAAAAAAAAAAAATTCCCAAACCGAACATTCCCAGACCAACCCCCAGCTGTGAAAATGATTTTGATTTTTATCTTTACTTCTCAGAGTATTAGGAATTTTTAATCCTTCAAAAAAAAAAAAAAACACCGTCACATGTTTGGCTTCCGAAGAATTCGACAGATTATAAAATTATTTCATCATGAGGGTTCAGGACAATTCTCAGATACCTGGTGGGGCTGTTTTTTTTTAAAAAAATATCAGTTTCACGGAGGAGCAAAGAAGTTCACAGAGATTCAAACCCTTGCCTGCTGGCCAGTTCACAGAGGATGAGGCCCTGAATCCAGGGGTCTTGAAGGAATAGTGAAGAATCCAGAACCTTCCTTCCTGTGAGTGTTGGTAGTAGTAGCCTCCACGTTTAAACGCGGCCACGTAGCTGTTATTTCAAGACCACTGCTATTTTCAACATGTAAATATTACTCATTTTCACCTTTTCCTTTTCACAGCTGTTCTCCAAAGTGCAACTGTCTTGATCATAGTAAGCATTTAAAAAAAAAAAAATTAAAGAGTCCCTCAATAATGTCTTGCCATAAAGGGACCTAGTTTTATCCTCATGAGTTAAAAGTCAGTAGGGCCATATTAAGAGACTATTATAAACCTGAGAATAACAAGCTAAAATTTAAATGTATACAATCTTTGAAAAGGAGGAGCAATTGCCTATTAACCTGCTCTCAGTACGGTAGGTCAAGAAACTTCTCCGTGGCTCAGATGTGGAAGGGAGGCAGACGGAGCTATTTTGCATTAATTTATCAGTGAGAGTCTCCTACGGTGTACTACGAAAGGGTGGGTCTAAGTCCAGAAAACTGCTTAAAAATAGGGCACAAGTCAAGGCTTCCAAATCGAGGAAAAGCCTCTTGAATACTTGTTCTGGAGTTTGAGAGTGTGCTTGTACATAGCCCACTTTGCTCCATAATGTTTGCTATATCCCAAAGATGTAAAAGATTAGAGAGAACAAAATGATTTTCTTAAAGAACGACGACAACAAAAAAGAATCTAACAGGGCAAAGCCAATACCAGGCTTTACTGGCTTTTCAAACCACACCCCAAAAAACTCTCCATATGAGAGTCTCTATTTTCGTAGAAAGGGGTGTCTGGGACGGACCTTTGGCAGCCTCGAGTCACAGCCCTCTTCTGTGCTGGGAAACATAGCTGCCCAACGTTTTCTAGTAGGATCTAAGATTCACCAAGCAGTTGTGGAAATTGACAATCCCGCAGCCTACAGGATTTCCTGTAATTTGTCCCGCAGGATGGATATCCCGCCCAAAGAAGCATACTGTGGTCAAATCCATGTAGGAAACTCTGGGTAAAGCAGAGTTAAACACAATTCTGTGTTACTATATTCTCAAGAGTTTTAGAATATGCCACTGTGTGCTTTGTGGCTCTCCAAGAGACAGGGTCTAGGCGAACAGGTGGGGTATGTGGTGTTTCTTAAACATATTTGGCCATAGAGTCCTTTTTTTGAGGTGCATCTCGAAGGCTAGGCCAGGGAATGGCCACTATGGCCCTGTGTTATAAATAAAGTTTTATTGGAACACGGCTACCCTTGCTCGTTTACACATTGTCTACCATTGCTTTTATGTGGCAATGGCAGAGCTGAGTGGTTGTGACAGAGATTTTGTATGGCTCCAAAAGCCTAAATCTTTGCTATTTGGAACCCTACTAGAAAAAGTTTGCTGACACCCCCTCCCCTTTCTAGAACCCTATGGAACACACTTTGGGAAACACTTAATTCCCAGTGATAACTCCACCGGAGTAAGACACACAGTGCAAATATCACAACCGAGTTTCTATTCCTTCTTCCTCGTTTATCTTGTGCAATAAAAGAAAGATTTCATTTCATAAAACATTTCCCAACCTCTCCCCCACCCTGTTTTGGGCAAGGAAGCTACGAGCACCCTAGTAGAAAATATACACAGTGTTTTCTCTCCGTCCATACTAATAAAAGCCATAGGACACCACCATCAATCCATTTCTGTATGACTCTCCAGCCATTTGTACCCAAAGCAAAATGTACTCCGATGGTATCAAAAGAGGTTTTCTTACTTGACTGGTTCCCATGACTCCCGCTCAAAGCCCCTGTGGATGGATTGTGCAATTGAGGACTCCATCAGATCCACATATCTAACCACCAGTGGAGCAAAGAGGTCTTGCAGGTGTTTGTGAAATTTTCCATTGCACAGATTATCTAGAACAGATAAGCAAAAGCTCGGTAAGAACCCACAGCCGTTTTTATCAACGTACAATGCACACACACAGACACGACTGTCTTCGACATTAAATATACTGCTTCTAAGGAAGCCAAAAGGGGAAGAAAACAAAAATGGTACGTGAAAAGCATTCGGGAATGCATTCGGGAATGTTCATTAAATCTGTCTGGAAGGGAAATAGAATTCAGAAACACTTTACCCATTGGTATGGAACTTCCATAATAGAAGGAAAACCAATCATTCTCCTTTAAAACAAACTCCACAAGAACAACAATCTACACCATTTTTTAAATATTTTCCTTGCACCCACACCCCTTCCTCCCAGGAAGAGAGAGGCATTCTTTACACCCTCTCTTTTCATCACCCTCCCTGGGGAGGAAGGTCTATTTTATGGCTGTTGATGCCTTAAGATACTATGAAATACTTGCTGTGTTATTTAGCTAGAAATCGTTTTTTCATCCAGAAAGCATCCTTTGATAAAAATTGCATCATGCAAAGAGGTTAAGTGCGTCGGTTTGTCTGAGAGCGAATAACCCACAAAAAAACCAGACACCTCTTCTCACGTTGTTCTCAGGTTCTTCTGCCTAGTCGGAGAGAGGGCTTCCCTACGAAAGAATACTTTCTGGAAGAAAGGAAATGCCCATCAGCTGTAAGGGTCTTGTTTTTTCCTTTCCTTTTTCCTTTCCCTTTCCCTTTCCTCCTCTCCTCTCCTCTCCTCTTCCTCTCTCCCTCTCCTCTCCTCTCCTCTCCTCTCATCTCCTCTCCTCTCTCCCTCCCCTCCCTCCTCCCCTCCCCTCTCCCCTCCCCTCCCCTCCTCCCTCACCTTCCCCCTCCTTTTCTGTAATAATGAAACTATGCAGAGCTATGTCTCAGCCTACAGTCTGCTTGGGGTCAAGGCACCTTAGCAACCTGTTTATCTGCACACTACCTAGGAAAATCAAACAGAGAGGATACATACAGTCAGTACGGAGAAAATCATTCAGCAGCTGAAACAGTGGAAAACTGTCCCACGTGTCCGGAGGCTGCACCTCTAACGCTGCATCCATGTCCACCGCGAAGAGTGACAAGAACGTCTCTGCGTGTTCCACCATCAAGTCTGACCACCATGCAAAGGCCTTTGGGATTTGGCAGAAAAACAACAGACAAAGAGGTGATGAACTTCCCCTCGCAGACGGAAGACGGGAGCTCCAGCCCTCACTGTTCAAGAACTAATTGTGCATCCAGCAGGGTTGGGTCATTTTATTGTAAAGAGAACAGCATTTTTGGATACAATGGGGTCTCTGAGTGTCCAAGGCAGGGCTTTTCCTGATACCAGGCCTGCCGTAGAGAGACTTTTCTCTGACCCGAGGTGGGGGGGTCAGAGGGTGCAACTGTAGGAATAACAGACGTGGAACTTCTGTTCAATTTACAATAACTCAGTATGTTTTGAGTCATGCTCTTTGTCATTGTCATCGGCTAGTTCTTGCTCTAAGGTATTAAAATTTGGGAGTTTCTTCACTGTGTTTGTGGGTTTTCTGCTGGTCTAGCTTGAAAATTTGCAATGATTGTTCGCTTATGTCTACTTCTCTGGGGCAGAATCGTCTATGGTCTCATCCGAGCTAAGGGACTCATGTTTCCCTACACGTTGGAAATGTTATTCCTATTTCATACTCAGGCAAAGCTGAAATCTCTTTAAGCAAGGAGCCTTTGCTTTTACATCCAGTCTGGAGGAGAGATCGGGCTTAGGGCAGGAAATGCTGAGTAAGAAGATCGGGACTTACTTTTCTAGGGGTTGGACACATATGCACATTGAAAACCAAAAAATATCAGTGAAGTAACTCATTTTCATGCACGTGGGCACTTGGAAATCATTGTGCAGGGCCTCGGGGGCGAGATTCACATCGGACTGGGGCCAGATGTGAATGCAATTCAAAGGCACGCATGCACGTTGACTAATCATTTCTGGCAGGGAGCATGCAGAATGAGAGGCGGTGTACAACAGGCCCTGTTTTGCTGATTTCAAAGAGAGCAGGAAAACAAAAACAAATCGCCAGCCCCTTCTTGTCCCCCACCTCCCCGCTCAATAATGCCATAAAGTATTTACAAATTGGAAACACTTTCCAGAGCATTCACCGAAAAAAAGATGGGAAGGCATTTGGAAACATGAAAGATGATTATGGAAATAATTCCATAAATGAAAGGGTTTGTTCAATGGGCCAAGCTCTTCTGTGATCTATTATTTATTGGAGGGATATTCTAACAGCCACTAGGAGGCAGAATAGGAGTCCACCTCTCTTCTTTCATGAGATACCACTTTACTTACTTCTCCTTTATCAACATGTGGCTGGTTTGCAAATTAAATGGAAAAAATCAAGTCATGGACCATTCTGCAAGGTGGGCGTGGCTGGAAATAGACACCTGCTGTTTCCATTTGAATTTACAGTAAAACCTCACTGATTCAGAGCAATGGGAGAAGGAAGATGCTGGTCTGTCAGCAACATAGCCTAAATCATGGGGCTTTCTTTCTAAACAGAGACATCATTTTATTGCCTCTCAATGCAGTCTGTAATTGGTCCCTAAAGAAATAGGTATTCATGAAGTCTACATTGGTTATCATATGAATGTATCATAAAAGTATAAGGCTTTTTTTAAGCCTCTAACAAATGTAAATAAGTTGACTTATAAATTGAAAAAAAAAAGATTTAATTTCTTTCTTTTTTTTTTTTTGAGACAGAGTTTTGCTTTGTTGCCCAGGCTAGAGTGAGTGCCGTGGCATCAGCCTCGCTCACAGCAACCTCAAACTCCTGGGCTCAAGCAATCCTCCTGCCTCAGCCTCCCGAGTAGCTGGGACTACAGGCATGCGCCACCATGCCCGGCTAATTTTTCTACATATGTATTAGTTGGCCAATTAATTTCTTTCCATTTTTAGTAGAGACAGGGTCTCGCTCTTGCTCAGGCTGGTTTTGAACTCCTGACCTCGAGCAATCCGCCGCCTTGGCCTCCCAGAGTGCTGGGATTACAGGCGTGAGCCACCACGCCCGGCCCGAAATTTAATTTCTTAGGTCCTGCGATGGAAAAAAAAGTATTGGATTCCTCCAACTTGTAAGAAGAGCCTTTAGAATTTCCAGAGAAAGTAGAGATCACGTCAAAGATTTTACTTAAGAAAACTTAGAAGAGTCAACATCTGCAGTTGGATTATTAGGGATTCTAAGTATTTAGGTCTGAACCGATGAGGTTTTATTGTAGTTTTACCACCTGAGGACAAGAGCCCTGGGGTTTAGGGCTTGCTCCACTGACTACCTGGCTAGATCCAGGAGGGAAGCAGCCGTCAGTCCCTCCCCAAGAAGTTTCCCAACCACCCGCCTTTTAGGCAGAGACCTTCTAAATGCTAGAACTTGCTGGATGAAGTCCCACCCCACCCCCTAACCCTATATGTAAGGCTGACTCTCATCAACCCTGATCCAAGAGATTTGAAAAATACACAAAAGCACATCGAATGTTGGCTGGTACCTATTCTTTAGTTATTTGATTCATTTTACATCTTCAGGTTGAGTTCTAGAAAACAGTTACTGGGAAGACTGAGTTGTCTTCCTAGATACAATTTTGCTCCAGGATGACAGGGAAAAACAAAATAAAACAACATAAAAAAAAAACCAGCCCTAAATGCCTGAAATTGAAAATTTCTTAACTCAACCACATATCTGGTTCTGATCAGCTCTTTAAAGTTAAAAGTTGCAAAGCAGAGGCCCTAAGAAGTACCACTCCTACCACCTATAGGGACATTAGTTCCTCATTGTAATTTAATATACTATTGAGCAAATCAAATGTCCCTACAAAGAACAATGACCACTGTGCTATGAATTAGTACTATTGAAGTCTGGCGTAGCAATTTAGGACTCCAGTGAACCAAGAGAATTTAAATTTGGGGATTATAGAAAACATAAGGACTAGAGCTACCTTTATCCATTCAACGTAATTCCTTTTGGAACCTTATAACCAAACCCAATTCTCTGAGAAGCAGAAGAAGATTCTAGAAAGGGAGGTAACAACCAAAGAGTCAAAGTGTAATTCCAGTTAAATGAATGGAGTCTGTGTGACTGGGTTGGGCAAGTCAGGCTTCAAAAAATGTTTTTGTTGCACCCTTGCTTACACAGGTGAATGCTATTTTTGTACTTGAGCTAACAGACAATGTTTGTGGGTGTCTGAAGTCTTCATAAACCTTTTCCAAAGACAATATGGAGATACACTTTGGCTTCTACATACTTACCCGTGCTTTTGGTTATTCAAAGACAAAGATGTGTCCTTTTAGGGCACAGGCCACCACACCAAACACACTGTATATTTTGCACACAAACTAACATGTATATATGTACCTCTCTGTGTACCACAATACATATATACATATACATACGTATACATAGAGAGAGATTGGGAAAGTGTAGCAACAATACATAAAGGCATAATCCGTGTGTGTGTGTGTGTCTGTGTGTGTATGTGTGTGTGTGATTGCATTAGACTCTGGGAACAGAATTAAGCTGCAATTAAAAGATAAATGTTATACCTGCTAGCATGTACTGCAGGTATATCTATATGGTGTTTTCTTAGCTGGTGGAAATTTGTTTCTCTCAGGACATTTAATTACTTTATTTTGGAATTTAAAATAGCTTTACATATTATTATTATTATTATTTTTTTTGGTGGGGGAGAGGGGAGGTGAGTCTACTTGTCACTTTCATTTGAGTGGTTTCACCAAACAGCATGGCCACATAGCCAAGATCCATGCTTAGGATTTAGTGAATTTTTTTTTTTTTTTAAGAGTTTACTGAGCACTCAGAGAATATGGCAATGAGTACTGGTCAGCAGAAAAAAATTTTCTGACGTCATCCTCTTGGGAAAGAAAACTCTATGTTTAGCATGCCAGGGCTAATCCTACCTCTTCTCTTGTTTCTAGCCACTCTCAACCCTGGCTGTACACTGGAACAGTCTGGCAGCTTTTAAAAATGACCAATGCTTACTTACTACCTCCTTGGGAGGTTCCAGTGAATTGTGCTTGGGTGAGCCCCGGGGATCAGAATTTTTAAGAACTTTCCACCTTTCCATTGCAATCTGTAAGTGGATTTTGAGAACAGGAGATGGTGCCTTTCTGGACCATTCTACCTTGCAATGAATCCACTCTCCTTTGAAGACATTCTGTCTGTTCCATTCCTTTGGTACTTGCCACATGGGTTTTGTCCTTATAATGATTAGCTATTCCTATGTTTTGTTTCCTTAGCAATTTGTTCCTAATAACGTAACAGCCAAGCTTCGTGGAGCGCTTACTATGTGCCAGGCGTAATATCAGAAGTGATGCTTAATGTGGCCTTCCAGCCTAACAAGGATCATCCTTTTATTATCTTCGATTTACAGGATAAGGGGGGTTAAGTAGCCAGGTTGAGATCACAGGGTAAGGAAGAGGCAAAGTTGGAATTCAAGCCCACATTTCCCTGGCACACGACCTAAGCTGCCGGCCACTCTGCGTTTTATTGCTTGAAGCCCAAGGCTGCCTTCTGTCCTCTTGTCCTTCAAAAAGCACCAAGGTAGTTGCCTCTGTGCTCAGCAGATAGAAGATGCTCAATAGATAGCTTTTGATTGACTGAGTGATAAGACTTTGTGATTGGGTGAAATTACTAATTTGTGAAAGGAAATACTTCTCTACATTTATCTAAAAAAATTTTTTTGGTCTCCAGATCTCCAAAGTATGTTGAAGATTTCGTTACGAATTTCTAACGTTAGTAATGGGAACAGAATTGAGTTTATGTCTACCTGATTTATTTACTCTGAATGGCTTTTGAATAGGTTAAGATTGAAAATATTTCATGACGACGGTTATTAAAACAGCTTAGGATGATGATTAGCATTTAGCGAGAAAGTGCTTTTTGGAAAAGTGAACAATGCCTCCTTTGGGATACAAACTTTCCTTTGGTGCCTCTTTGGAGTAATTTAGGAAAATATACATCCTTTCTTAACCCCTGGAAGCCTCAGAAAATAACTTGATTATAAATCAAGTGTATCTGTCATTTTTCTGTTTCAACGATCTCACATAAAAGCACAACTGTAACTCAGAAAAACCATCCTCTTCAAATCCCTGCCTTCAAAAATGTGCAGATTTGGTCAAGTGTCATGGGGAAAACTGCCACCATTCAAAAAAGAAGAGGGCAGCCCAGAGCCCCTGCAGGTCTCTGGAGATAACTTCGAAGATTGCCAGAAAGAACACACTTACCATCACTCGAACTCTAAGTGCCCCCAATCTGAAAAGAATATCATATAAGATAGTGTAGGGAAAAAAAATCGAACCCAAATGAATTTTATGTGCCTGGAAGTTAGTCCTAGGTTTATATGTTTGGAGGTTGTCAACCTGGCCCCCCCTTCTCTCTGTCACCTCTGGGCACTGTTGCTAGGTGCTGTATAAGTTAGTAAGACCTGCCTCTGGGGGGGTTGTCACCCCATTCTTAGAGGGATTTCAGGGAGATCACAATTCTTCAGCACTCTCTCTATATATAAATACTGTATATACCATTCACATACAGACAGTTGTAGAGGAAGATTAGTGTCACTCCGGCAAGCTACTGGTTACTAAGTCCGGGACTCATCTGCTGTAATAAAAGGTAAGTACAGACAGACATGGGGAACTACACCAGGCTAAGGACAGAATCCAGGCAGGTAGGAGGCGTGTGGCAGGATGTAACTGCAGTCGTCGTTAAGTTATATCAATTGCTTCATGCACGCACAAGAGAATCACCCCACATTAACCCTGCCGTGGGACTGGGGGCCACTCATCTCACAAGCAGTCCACTAGAAGTTGCTGTTACATTCCTTGGGTCAGTGTTAGAAAGCAGGAGCACCAGGAAAAGTCCCATGAGAAGACATGGTACCGGAAGGGCATGCACAGAGTATGACAGTAGGTGGCTGGTTCATTCGGCTTGGTCACATACCTCTTTCCCCTGCCACGATCAGCCAAGATCGAATGGAACAGTAGAGAAACAAGGAGGAAATTTAAATATGCAATCAGGCATTAGTCGGGACGGTTGGATTTATGGTGTATTGTATATTATTTAACTATACTGTCCAATTTTCATTTAGTCATGGGGATAATCATGTTTAGATGCTTGAGAATTGCTTTTATGAAATGCCCCATTCCCCCCCCCCCATTTTGCTGTAGATCTGAATGCAGAGGAAGAGTGGGAATTAAGTGTGATTTTCCAAAAGGTTATTTTAAGAGAGGTGATTTTAAAACTCAGTTTTAAAACAAGCATTGATACCACAGTTTAACCATCATGAAATCTTGGAATCTTTTCTTGAAAGGGTTGGGTTGTTTAAGTCCTTATAGGTTTGGGATTTAGTTAGCTTTCAAATCCCTTGGCTTCAAATTACCAAAAGGATCATTTTGATAGTAGTTTGTGAGAAAAAAAAAATAAGCTACATCTATTTAGGTGTATGCTGGAGAATCGACACGTTGAACAACACAGAATAATTTGCTTCTATCACTGCGTTTAGCAACCCAGGCAATCTGAGGTTAAAAAAAAAATGAAGACTGTAGTACAAGCAGTGTAAGATACAGAGATAAATTCATAAAGATGACCCTGTGATTCACATACCAAAGAACTAATAAAAACAACAGTGGTGGCAACAAAAACAACCACAGAAAAACCAAAAAATATTGTGTGTGTGTTTTGGACAATGGCAACCAGATGCTGCTTGAGTAATTAAGAAGCACTCACCTCATTTGCTCGTTGCTAGAAACATCTGACAACTTACGCTGAAATGTACAACACGCAACCACTTTTTGGTTGTTTCAAACAACCTTCCAAAGACTTCTCCTTGCAAAACTTCCACTTTCCTTCTCTTTGCAAGCCCAGTTAAAAGAAAAGGGGTGTTAAGGCATCTTATTGACCACCCAGCCGGCAGGATCAGCTCTGCAACCTCAGCTAAAAGATACCAAGAGACATTTCCCAGCCGAGCCTGCTCACCTCTGCGTGGTGCTCCTCATTTTGTTGAAGAACTTCAATGACTAGTTCAGCAAGACGTATTGTGTCTTCAAGTTTTTTGGCGGGAGTGATTAACCGGCCTACATTTTCTGTAGTACAAGAATTCGTGTTAAAATTCAGCGAAAGCGGCAGGCTAGTTTGGTTGGCCATTAGAACTAGTGGGTAAGAAGTTTTGAATAGTTATCAAATTTATTAAAAAGTTTCATGCAAATGTTAAGTGCCATGTAATTAGTAGTGAGCAAACCATAAAGCCATTTTATTATTATTATTATCACCATCATTATAATACATATTAGGAAAAAGCAGTGCTCCAGCTTCAAATTTGCATACGAAACTATATTAAGTCTATGACAGCCCATTTCAAATTTAGTGACATTTTGTACACATGTTCTTTAAAGACAGCATAAAAGTACTATCTTACATCACTCTCTAGACTGTGTTCATGCTACCTGAGTGGGAAGTTTAATCTTGATGGCTGCTATGTTTTTTTTTGTTTATTTATTTATTTTTTTAGATTGGTTACTAGCCTTTCAAAACCAGAGCATGGTTTTTCATTGCAGGTCTGCATGTTTAACAGGTATTGGAATGTTCATTTTGAAAAAGCAGATTCAAAGGTCTATCTGTTTCAAGTTGTCTAGGGAGGAGATGGAAAAGAAAAACTGGACATTCCTGGGCCAATATATAGAATGCAGGATAGAATTCTTAAAAGGGTGTTGGGAGTAGATTATTGAACAGGTGGTGATAGTCTGCCCCACGGGTCGCTATGATTGAAATTTCACCAGTTAAGTTGCAACCACAATGTAGTCCATTTTTCTTTCTTTGTTTTTAGTTTCTCTTAAGTTGAAAGGGTTGTGTTTTTTACCCAGCTCAAGGAGAAACTGAACCCTGGCTCATATTGCACCCTTTCTAGAGCTGACTTCATGAATGTTTGGCAATGCCATTAGGTCACCAAAAATTATAAATTTTTTTCCTTGGTGAAAAGAATAACATTTAAAACATAAAGGTTTTCTTAGCCAATGAAATTGCCTAAATTCAACCACTCTGAACACACAGGGGGCTTGTATTTCACACCTAGCCCCCTTCAAACTTCAAGTCTCAGAGCTAATAGAGCACACAGAGTATAATGAAATAGAGATTATTCAGCAGAACTCTATAAGTAAGTATATATGTTTGCAAAGGGCTGCCAAAACTTACTTCCATCTCTTCATCTGAAACAGATATGTTTTAAGCTTCAGGATGTTTCTTGCTAGAGAGAATTACCTAATACTTCATAGGAAGTTTTGTTTGCTTTTTCTTTTTTTGGCAGATGTGGGGAGGGGTGGATTTAAACAAAATTGTAGGAGATTGCTATTTTTTTTTTTAAAAGGCCTCCTATTTTTCTTTAGACATTTTTCTGAGATAGGTGATGAACATATCAGATCATCAGTGATTTAGGATTTCATAATGAAAACTAAATTCAGTGAAACACTTATGCAAAAAAGAGTGTTCTAGCCAATGAGAGCTAAGGATGGTGGATAAGACTGGGTGAGATTAGCCGAGTGTTGAAATTATTAGTCCAACAAGGCCTGCTGGCGGGTGTGAAAATGGGCATTCTGGGTTCAGGTCAATAGAAAGCTCTGTTATCTCTTCCATGCCCGGTGAGAATGTGTTTGGTCTGGTTAGAACACGAACATGGGGCCAGGGGGAACCTAAGTTTGCAGATCAGGCAGAAAATGGCCCACACTCAGAGAAGGAGACATGGGAGTTTAGAAGATGCTGACGGCTCATTGCCTGGACCAGTGTAACACATATTGGAGAAAGAATGGGTGACAAGATTGACATCTGTACTTTTGGGGCACCTGACCTACTTGGAATTTCATAAATAGACTGTCATAATTTCCTTTAGGAGACTTTCAGGCATTTCTACAAACATACTGTGTATATATGTTTGGGTAATATGTGTAGAGTGAGGTATTTGCATTTTGATAGTAAATATGCATAGGCTACTCTTTTTTTGTTAGTTGATATTCACATTTACACATCAATTTGCAAATTCCTCATCCTATGCGTATTACCGTTTTGACACATACACCCACATACGCACATCACACACTTACATACATACATTTTCTAGTAAGCAGACAAGCCTGCACATTAATACAAATCTGCAAGAACTCCCACTTGGGGCACATCTTTGAAATCTCTTGCTTTAAAAATAGGGAGCATTGTCTTTTCGGGTAGAACGCTCACCCAAATCGAGGGGAACTCTGGCTGTATGTGACACGTGCCGCAGAGGTAAAATAATTCCCGCCAAGACTTTCACGTGCATTTCTTTGAAAAGTGCGGATTATTTTTATGGTTGGAGAAATCCAAGATGCTTAAGCGAGGACCACCTGAAGATTTGTTTTAATATGCAGTACTCTTAGATTGACTACAATCGATATCAATAGATACACATAAAGTGTGCATGGGCACGCAGCCATTCTATGAGTGTGTGCACAGGTACACAGATATGTGTATGCCTGATGTATATATACAGACAGTATGTTTAATAAAACCTTTTGCAATTTTACTTTAACATGCAACCATTGACGTCAGCAAGTTAAGGACCCTTTAATCTAGAACACTTGATCTGCCAATGAATGCATGTGGCTGGACTTTCATTTACTATTAATTAGCTGTGGTTCCGTCATCTGTCTCACTTCAGTGAGACAGAGCACTACTTTCCTGTTCATTTGCGTAGCCGATTTACTAGCTAAATGATTCAAAAAAAAAAAAAAAGATACTAAAAATTGACTCGTCTAAGATGTTGTCTTTAAAGAAAATATTGTGCAAAATCCTTCAGCACTTCCTCCCTCCCCCAACAGAGGTCAAGGAGAAATTTGTGCTTAGAAATAATTTTTTTTTGTCACTTCCGCTGTCTTGAAATGTATGGCAATATTCCTGTCCCCCAACCTTGCGCTAGCTGGAGCACTGATGCAAGGGAACTAAAAATACACTCTACTTAGGAAACATTTCATTACAACAGATTTGAGGCTCATAACATATAAAAAAAAATTGTCATGCAAAATGTTATGCAACAACAATGTTATTTTGTGCTGACATTGAGATTTGAAAATGTTGCATATGTCAGACATAGCTAGACAAAAAGAAAAATGTGGACATTTGGAAATAAACGCTCTCTTTTGAATATCTCAAAACCTACAGCATTCAACTCGAGAGCCTGAGCCTCAGGTTAGTATTCCAAACGGAAACAAAATTTCAAGAAGAAAAGTGAACAGAAAAGCGAACTAAGCTAGAGAACTGCTGAGTAAAGGAATGATAGAAGTTTACGGTACTTGATTTTGGCCTAGGCATGCCTTTGAGCCTCTGATATAACATGCTGGTCTGCATTTGAATGGGTGGAGGAGGAGGCCCAGGAGGCGGCAGGGAAGCTGCTCAGGTAGGTGAAGAGAGACAGTATAAAAAAGTAAAGAGACAAAAGTGACTTTAACGAAGGTTGACAAGATGACAAACTCTGAAAAGAACAACCAAACAAGCAAAAATGATAAAACACGAATGGAGGGCTGCTGCTCTCTCGGCGTCACTTCAAACAGTACGGAGGTGTGACATTGTTTGACAAGGACTCTTACCAGTGTCACCAGCACTGGCCCTACAGAGACACTCAGAGGCTGCCTGCAAATACTGATGCTTTATCCAGACGGATAGACACGAACAACGGGGGCAGCGGCATACACAGAAAGAAGATACGCTTTGCACAACGAAGAAGACCTATGTGTTCATAATAGCTGATGCTTCTTTCAAGACGACCAGAGACAGGACTGGATGGACCACTAGTTGGAAGATCTGGCTTCTTTTCCTCCATATGCTACTTACTTTCCACGTAACCGTGCTCTTGCTACATAAACTTCTCTGTGCTTTGGGTTCCTCGTCTATAAATCGAGAATATTAGTATCTTTTCTGTGTATCTTGCTGATGAGAGCAGATGCAACAATGTATGGAACAGATCTCTGCAAAGCTTACGGTGCCTAGAAATGTTTGTCATTTCCTCCACATTGGGAGAGAGCTGGAATGGATTGCTTTGCAAAACCAGAAGAAGGGCCGTTATTAGTTCAAGGCGAGCTAGGGAGTATTCTCGCTCCCTTTGTGGAATTTCAACATGTCAAAATCTGTCATTTGGGGGAAAAAATGTGTGGTATCTGATTGTTTCCAGCTCATTTAATTATTTTCGACTTGGAATTCTCGTGGCTTTTATATTGTGGATTGAATCATATATAAAAACTTGCCAGCTTATCAAATATGTTACTTGCTATTCCAAATGTTAGAATACCGTAATCAGCACTTGACCCATCTGTCATGTGGTTTACAATATCAGCACAGCAAACATCCTATAACAATAGCCTCTCCTTCGATCCAGGTTCCAGAATTCTCTCTCTTTAATGAGCGTCTCATTAACCTCGGACCTGCTCCTTTCTAATAGTCCTGCTTTATCCTGCAATCCGTATGGCAAGAGGGACACGCTCCATGCCAAGTTTGCTTCTTGGTTTGCCTGAATTTTCAACGGAGAAAATGAATTTTACTGCAGGCATATAGGAAATGGAATTCTAGTGACATTAATAATAATAATAATAAAAGATTGAGAAATATGGATAAATATAATATTCTGGCAAAACCATCTATTAAAAGCAAGAGTTGATGAGATCCTTTTCTTGTTGGACCATCTCAATGTTTAGAATACAGGACAAAAAATAATATATATATATATATATTTTTTTTTACCAGTTTCCTCTTATTTAAATTTTTTGGGGAAAATTATGTGTAAATAGAATTTGGACAAGCCGGTTTTAAATGATAGCTATTTAAAAGAAGGCAACTAGTGATCCTTTCATCATAAAAAGAAAGTACTCCATGTTTTATATTTTGTGAAAAGCTGGTTTTCCACCTACAGCACCGCCTAAAGTTAGCTACATCTCTGGTTACACATTCTCATGGCTCTTTCGATGAATGCATGTTACCTGAGTGTACAATTCTCATGGAAACTTCCTTCCTTCCTCTCACCCAGATAACTGAACCTGTGCAGAGAAACACTTCAAGAAAACAATGAGGCGCC